ACTCAGGACATTGAGCTTCCAAGGAAGGCTGTGGCACCACTGAGCTAAATCCCCAGCCCAAGTAATAAATAATTTTAAATGTGGGATAAAGGAAAATGATTTTTTCTTTTTAGGAAAATAATTTTTAACTGTTGTTGTTTGAGATGAGGTGTTGGTATGCAGTCCAGTCTGGCTAGTCACTATGTAGCACAGACTGGTCTCAAACTCTTGGCAATCTTCCTGCCTCAGCCTCCAGAGTGCTGGGCTTACAGGTGTGTGCTACCGCACCCAGCGATTTTCCTATTTATAATTTCTAATTTTTCAAAATTTAGCAAACACATATGCTGATTTTTCTATCAGAATAGCTTACTCTGTCATTTAAAAACATGCTACCAAAATAATAGGCACTTTGAAAAGGAACGTTTAAGGGTAAACAAAATTATATAGGAATGAAATACTGTATATATGATCTGAATTGTGTACAAGGGAAAAGTAATGCATTGTTGCTTATAAATATGTTTACATAGGTGCTTAAATATATCTCGCAAGATGAATATTCTATAAATTAAACCTGTGGATCTGGGCATTTTGTATCCATGCTCATATATTATAAATATAATAGAATGTACCGAAATAGTCTGAAGTTACACACATCAAGCTGATAATAGTGGATATATATATAGAGAGAGACAGACAGACAATCGCACCATGTAGTTTGAGCTGGCCTTGAACTCACGACATGGCTCAGGCTGGCCTCTTCGCTGTGATCTTCCTGCTTCAGCCTCCTAAATGCTGAGATTACAAGGCCTGTGCCACCATGCCTCGGCAAAGGTGGAAATACTTTTTAGAACGTTAGGTAAAGAGTGATTTTTTTTACTGAATTTTTCCACTATAATCCTGTAATATTGATTTTCGATTCTAAAATTGTAAAATGTACATTCACAAGTTACTGGAAAACTGCAAATTATAGTATATCTAGAAGTGAAAGTAGGAAATCCAAAACGCTTTGTACAAATACACCCAGTTTTATTTTTAAAAATACATATAAACATGGGAATTAAAAAATATATATATAGGGGGGACCGGAGATTCAGCTCAGTGGCGCCCGCCTGCCCGGCAAGTGCAAGGTCCTGAGTTTGATTCCCAGTACCAAAACAACAAAAACTAATATGTACATAGAAACTGGTGGTGGTGATGGTGGTACACGCCTGTAATGGGGAAGCTGAGGCAGAAGGACTGCCACGAGTTAAAAGCCAGCCTAGGTTCCATTGCGAGTTCAAGGCCAGCCTGGATTACACAGCGAGACCAGACCCTGTCTCAAAAAAAAATTAAATTATATTAAAAAATATATGTTGTATACACGTATTTCAAAGTACAAAGATTAAAAATTTCTAGGATGTTGGGTTTATGCGTATCACGTATTTCTACCATAAAATTCCTTTTTTTGCCGGGGATTTAGCTCAGTGGTTCTGCCGCCTGCTTTGCAAGCGCAAGGTCATGAGTTTGATCCCCGGTACCGAACAAACAAAATTCCTTTTTTTTTTTTCACACGAGCTGGAAACCGGGCCTCGCACATGCTAAACAGTAAGCCACACCCCTCGTCGTTTCCCTTTTCTGATAACTTGCAATTGGCACGGATGACTTTTCTAGTAAGAAGCAAAAACACTATTTCTGAAAAGAAATTGGTAAGGAACTAGGAAACGGCAAATTATTTACTGGCAAGGCAAGGGGCTCTTTCCCAAAGTAAGCGATAAAACCCTGAGAGGCAACTGCTCTCCCGCTCCCACAGCATACGCTCGCTCGCACGTACGTACGTACGCACGCACGCACGTACGCGCGCAGGCGCGCAACCTCGCAAAGATGCGCGCGCACATGGGCCGACGCGTGCGCCTTGTGTGCGCGCGCTCGTATGACACACGCTGATGAGCGGGTGCGATCCCCGATGGTCTTGTGAACCCTTGCGCCAAACAGCTAGGTCCCTTTGAGGCCCCGGCGCCACTGACGCAGTTCTCACACCTCAGCCCGCAGCGGAACTCCCCGGAGGCCTCCGCAGATGGCACTGGGCCCCGGCTCCAGTCCCCACTCGGCGGGCCGCCGCAGTCCTGAACGCACATTTCTCACAAGTCCTCCGAAGCCCCTGGGAGACCCGCCGAGCTAGGGTCGGGGTGGGCGTGTGGAGAGAGCAGCCTTAGGCTGGCCCTGCAGGCTCGGTCGCGGTGGCGGGAGATGCCCCCCTTACAGGACTTTAGCTTTTGGCCTTTGTTACCAGCCCGCCCATCACCCAACAGGGGACATCTGGGGTCTCACGCGGGGTGAACGAGCGCGAACTCACAAAGTCCAGGTGGAGTAGAAATGGACTTGTAGAAATGAAGTCTGAGAAGAACTCGCAGTTTAGACCTCCACGTGATTTCAAATTCAGAGAAACAAAGTGGGGAGCTGACCGCAGGCAGTCGGTTTCCCGGCAGCCTCTTCCGAGCCCTGACGTTTTTTTCAGACCCGGAGGGCGGGAGCAGAGGATTTACGTTTGGGTGTTAGGTGAGGGCTTGCAGGGCTTTTTTTTTGCGTTTGTGAAGCCACACTGCCACCAAGCGGAACTTTTTAGAAAGTTTCAAGCCATGGTGACAAAATAAAAGGTCCCTTGTGGAGGATGAGCCAGTGGCTCAGGGCTAGAGTATCTGCCCAGTGATGTCGAGGGTTCGACCCCCAGTACCACAATTCTGAGAGCCATAAAAGAAGATCCTACTAACAACAACAAAAAAAAACAAAAACAAAAGATCCTGTCCTGTAATCATAGGACTCTGCGAAGCTGAAGCAGGAAGTTTGAGGACACATACAGTCAACATGGCAAGTCTCTCCAAAAACAAAATAAACAAAAAGAATTCAACTTGGAGATGATCCCGCTGATGAAAGACAGGACCGTTTTACTTGTAGGAGTCCAGCTGGGTTCAAATCCAGAAATTCACTATCGTGTGACCCTTGGCAAGCTACAAAAGCTCTCCGGGCCTCAGATTCTTCATCTGTAAAGTGGGAATGATAGTGCTTTCTTTACCTACTTTTATGGGTGGTTGTGAGGATTAATAATTATGTGTACCTTGTTTAGAACACATCTGCTTGTTTCTGAGTCCAAACCCTCTTTGACATTGTTCTGGAAATGACATAAAATTCCAGGTTGTCAAGTATTTCCCCATATTCTTTTTTATTAGTATGTTGGCAACAATAATGATTACATTTATGGTAGGGAATTGGTATATATACGTAAAACACCTCTTAATTCCTTAATTTTCGTCCCTACCCCTCCTATCCCTCCCTGCTCCTTCCATGTCTTGGTCCCCTTCCCATTTGAAAAAGATTTGAAAAGTGCTTCCTATTTTTCTTTTTATGTTTTGGGTATTCACATGGTTTCTCTTATATGCGAAACCCAAAATATAAAGAGCAAAGTATTAGTCCATATTCTGTTTGGCCAGAAATTATAGGCAAAATCTTGCTCCGTTTTTGCTTTGAGACAGGACTTGCTATGTTGTCTGGGCTGGTTTGGAACTCCTCGGCTCCAGCAAACCTCCCACCTTAGCCACTGTACCTGGCTCAATTTCCTTTCTCTCTCTCTCTCATTGTTGGGGATGGAATCCAGGACCTTATGCATGCTAAGCAATGGCTCTACCACTGAGCTACAGCCCAGCCCAGGCAGGTTCTCGATACCCAGCCACTGTAATCTGGATCACAAGGAACTCACCCCGGCTTCCTGTCTTTCTCCCAGGGTCCAATGTAATTGACAGCCATTCCCAGGCCTCTGGACCTGGGTATTAGGGTCTGTGCAGGAAAGGGTCCAAAGAGCAGGTCCGTGACTGATTGTTTTTTGTTTGCTATGTTTTGAGACAGGGTCTTGTTAAAATGCTAAGTTCCCTCAGCCTACCAGAGTGCCAGTTGGCATCATGGGTGAGTGCCGCCACCACCTGGTTGAGGCTGCTCTTCTTCAAAAGACCTGCTTGCGAAGACTGGCCCTCGACTGGTACTGTACACTGACTTGTGTCTCCCACATTTCGTATGTGGAAGCCCTGACCCCAGCATGACTGGATTTGGAGGTAGGCCCCTTAAGGAAGAATTAAGGATAGAGAGCATGGTGGGACCTTGACTTTGTTGTTTATTTGTTTGTTTGTTGTTTTTCCAGTATCAGTGATCAGATTCAGTACTTTGCGCTTGCCAGGCAGGTGAAGAACCACTGAGCTAAATTCCCAGCCCACGACCTTGACTTTGGGCTTGGAGCCTCTAGAACTCTGAGGAAATAGATTTCAGGGGATTAAGCCCCATAATTACGGCAGCTCACAGCATCTAATACAGCTGGCACTTGGGGTTTAGACTTTGGGAACCTTCCCACCGTCCCCTGAATGCCAAGAGTGGTGCATAGTGCCTAACCTGTGTGTGCATTGTGGTTTATGTTGACCCTGCTCTCCTCCCAGCATCCATATTTTTGATACATGCTAGGCAGAGGGTGCCTTTGTGACTTGGCCTCTGATGGAACCTGCTTGAGAACAATTCATTCTTTCTTTGTTTTTTGAAATAGGATCTCACCCCTGGCCTTCTGCCTGAGTCTCTTGACTGCTGGGGTTATAGGCACGTGTCATCGTACCCCGTGAGGACAGTGTGATATGCTAGAGAAATTGTATCCTGCATGACTCCACTAGGACAGGAATTTTAGGAATTTGCACCTGTTTTTCTCTAGACTTTGCCCCACACGTTTTCCCTGTGCTGAGTTTTGCTCTTGATCCTTTTGCTGTAAGAAGTCATAGCTGAAGCCGGGTGTGGTGGCACATGCCTATAATCCCAGCACTTGGGAGGCTGAGGCAGGAGGATTGCTGTGAGTTCTAGGGCAGTCTGAACTACATAGTGAGACCCTGTCTCAAAAAACCAAAGAAGAAGAAGAAGAAGTCATAGCTGTGAGTTTGACTACATGCTGAGTTCTGAGTCTTCACAGCATATCACTGAACCTGGGGCTGACCTTTTCTACATAGTACCATGCCACTCACTCTCTGTACTCTTTTCCTTTTCTGGTACTGGGGATTGTATCCAGGGCCTTTGCACTGAGCTGCATCCCCGGCTCTTTTTATTATTTATTTTGTGACAGGGCCTCACTAAGTTACCCAGGCTGGCCTTGAACTTGTGATCCTCCTGCTGTCAGCATTCCACAGTGCTGGGATTATAGGCACGCACTACCACACCATGTTTCATGCCACTCTTCTTTTTGAGGCAAGGTCTCGCTGTGTAGTTCAGGCTGGTCTTGCACTCAGTGTGTAGCCCAGCTGGACTCATACACATGGTGATCCTCCTGCTTCATCCTCAAGGTGAGGAAACTTAAAAACTTTAATTATCAAGTATTTTGTTTTGTTTTAAAGTAAAGTTTATTTTATTCCATTTCTCCCCTCAAGCCCCCTCCCCAAGGTGAGGAAACTTTAAGAGGGCTCAGTGGAAGGCCTTCTGCTTGCTGGGGGCAGGTCCTAGCAGGGACAGACAACTGCACCTTCCTGCCCCACCTGCAGCCTTGAAGTGAACACTTGTGCTACACCTACCACCACAGACCTGGAAGCAATAGGGCCAGCCCGGGATGGATGGACACCTCCAAAACTGCGAGCTGCAATAAACCTTGTCTCTTTATACACTGATTATCTTGGGTATTTATTACATTAATGAAGGAGTATCAAAGAATAAGATGTATAATAAAGGACTCCAACTGCTGCCATCCTGACCAGAGACCCCTGTAAACCGCCCCTCCCAGCACAGCTGCACCTGGGACTCATAACACTGTCAGCCCCGCTACTGATAGCAGCCACTACTCCCTGCACCTCCCAAGCCCCATGACCCCACAAAAGACCCCACAGCCTGTAGGAGAGCAGCTGGTCTGGTCTCAGTGCCAGAGCGGTCCCTCTCAGGTTTGTTCTGCAATAGACCTGTCCTGCTGAGCTCGTACCTGTTTCTTCTTTTCCTTTACCCTAACATATTATAAAGCCATCACACTAATATATTACAGCTTAAATTTTTTTTCTTTTTGTTTTGTTTGTTTGGGACAAAGCCTTGCTCTGTAATTCAAGTTGGCCTCGAACTCATGGTGATCCTCCTGCCTCAGCCTCCTGAGCACTGAAATTACAGGCAGATGCCACCATGCCCAGATATTACAGCTTACATTTCTGTAACAATTTCTTCATGAACAATGATATGGAATCTAGTATGTCTCATTTTTTCACTTCTAGGAATCAAATGAGCGCCTCATGCATGCTAGTCAAGTGCTCTGCCACTGAGCTACATTCAGTTCCCCTTAACACTGTGAGTGGACAGACATGCCCTTGGAAGTCTGGTGTGTAGATCTGTGGGGTTGTCCCAGCCTCCATGGCCAGTTCCAGGGAGCAAGCTGCATCCCTCCCATTGGCTGGTGTGGGTTTTTTGTTTTGTTTTGTTTTGTTTTGTTTGTACCAGGGATTGAACTCGGGACCTTTTGCTTGTGAGGCAGGCGGCGGAACCACTGAGCTAAATCCCTGGCTCTGGTGTGGCATTTTTGTCACAGCATGTCATGAGATTGGGCCATCAGAGTGTTGCAGATATGGTGTCTTTGGCTGTCTCTCGTTCGTGCCATTACAGGCCAGGCTGAGGTTACCAACCATCTCCACCAAGCCTTGGACTTGAGTTGCATGCACAGGCCCATGCCTCAGAGCTCTGCAAATGAGCAGCCACCTCCAGTCGAGAACAGCCAGAAGTGGCAGCAGTGGTGGTCCATGTCTTTACCCTGTATGTGCCTCTGCCACTTGCATCCAAGACTGTCATTCCCTCCACCACTTCCATGCCAAGTATCAGACAGTCCTCTGGTAAGGTTGATTCCTATTTAATTATTTTTTTCAGTTACTGTGAACGGGACTGTTTTCCTGATTTCTTTCTCAGTACATGTCTTTGGTGTGCAGGAATACAAATGATTTTTTTGGTGTTGGTTTTCTTTCTTTTTTTTTTTTTTTTTT